TTGGTACTCCTGTCAAAGCCCCAGTACAGCTGGGCTGGCATATGAAGGTGTGGTCCCTGCTGGCAGAGCTGCTCAGAGCTTCTCTATCTCATGGGTGTGGGGGAGTGCACACAAGGTCTTATCTCTTCAATGCCTTATGAAATCCATTCATGTAGGTGAAGAGCTTGGAGAGGAGCCAGGTGGGGGAAGATTGCCCCACAGTGTAGGAAGACATCAGTAGGGGAGCAACTGCACTGCTAGGAAAGGAACACATGCCCCAGCGATGTGTGGCAACTCTTCAAGAGGCGCTCTGCTCTTCCTTGGGGATCCCCGTCTCCCTCTCTGCCTGAAGCAATGAGCCAACCTCACCTTCCACCCTCAGCCAGGATCAGTGGTCCCCAGCTGTGTCCAGTACCTTTGCCATGTTTCCTCCTGTCATCCTGGGAGGGTGATGGAGTGGGCTAGTGGAGGAAGCCTGAATGCTTGGGACTAACACATCTGTTTTTGAATTCTGCAGGGCTTAGTCTGCACCAATTTGGGCATCAAGCCTGGACAGCGTTTTGGTGTGAAGGGTGAAATTACACCAGGCGCCAAGAGGTAAGCCATGTCCCATGGGCATGAAGGCGGCTAAACAAGAAGGCTGTGGAGTGGTGGGAGAGAGGTGCAGTCTTGAAAGGGTTAATGCCGCAAACAGCTCTTTCCAATGAGTCATATGCACTGACATAGTTCCTAATATACACTGAAGGCTACATGGCCCCCCCTCCCTGCCTCTTCTCCCCTCCCCCAGTGCATCTCCTGCCAAGAGACTGAATGGAACCAGATGTTCAATCTACCAGTGCCCTCCCCTAACAGCAACCACATCCTCTAATGTGCAGGGCCAGGCAGATGGAGAGCCTCTGTGCAGTGCAGGGTCTCTGGAGATGTGCTGAGTAGGCAGGTGTGTTCGTTGGCTGGAAGGGAGCAACTAAAAGGGCAGAGCACTCCTCCAGCTAAAGAGCTGCTTGGGGCCAGATACAGAAGGCACCTTAATGAGGTTGCAGCCTAGGGACCCTGGGAGCAGCTTCCTTGTATCAACGTCAAAACTGAGCCATCAAACTGAGCCTGTCGGTATCTCCTTTGGGTGTGGTTGGCTCCATGGGAGTGGAGCTTGGCTCCCACCCTGGGAGCCGATGGTATTCCAAGAAGCAACATGCCCTGACTCTTCTCACAACAGTGTCAGAACAAAGCCTTCTGGGCTTTCCCTCCCGAAATACCATGTTTGCCTGTTGGGGCCTCAAGGGAAGGAGGGGCCCATGCAGGGAAGGAGCGTTGTTCTGTTTCAGGCAAAAATCTCTTTGGAGGAAAGGTGCTTCATTAAAGAGATGGCAATTGCTTCAACGGCCTGTGGGGTGGAGAGCAGCCATAGAGCACAGCAATTCCCAGCTGTTTGGGACAGGAAGTGAAGAATATGGCAGGCAACTGAAACACCAGTGGGAATTCAGAGTGTGATTTCCCAACCCAGGCAGAGCTGACTGCTGACCTTTCCTCTTGTGAAAATTGTCATGGGCACAGGTAGTCAACACTTCTGTCTGAAACACAGCACTGTGCTAGGGCAGTGGTTGATTAGTGACTCAGAGCAAAGAGCTCCCCTTACCAACGCACCAGCCCTTCTTCCTGTGCATCCCCTGGTCCTTCTTGTAGGGCTCCTTTATCAGTGCTGATCAGTGGTCCTGAGCCCGAGGGAAAACCACAGGCTGTGGCAGTAAGAGGGTGTGGTGCTGCTCTAGTCTGGGGTGCATAGTGCTACCTGTCTCTCACTCGTCTCCTTTCTCTGCCAGTTTTGTAGTGAACATAGGGAAGGACCCCGCCAATATTGTGCTGCACTTCAACGCACGCTTTGATATCCATGGGGATGTGAAGACCATTGTGTGCAACTCCAAGAACAATGGGGAATGGGGCACAGAACTGAGGGAGACAACATTCCCTTTCCAGGAGGGCTCCACAGTGGAGGTGAAGTTGGGAATGACCCAGGGGTGGGACAGTGTCCTTGTGCATGAGACACATCTCAGCTTTGTCCCTAAAAGAGAGGGAGGAGGTGTATTATACATCGGGTACCCAATCCCAGCCTGTCTGGGAAGGTGATCACAGCCACCTCCCACTTGTCAGGGCTATACCCTGCCAGAGTTATGACTGGCAAAGGAGCTTGCAGCTTTCCCATTTCCGTCTCTCTTCAAAGAACCCTGCTCCTGGACTAGGGCAGTGGGAGAAGGTGAAAAGGTGGACGTGTAGCATGCCCTGGCCAATGTGTCCTCTGACTCTTTTGTGTTCACCCTTTGCAGATTTTCTTTGTTCATGACAAAAACGAACTGACTGTTCAGTTGCCAGGCCACCAATTCAAGTTCCCTAACCGGCTGGGACTCCAGGCCATCGACTACCTGTCTGAAGAGGGTGACTTCAAACTCAAATCCCTCCAAATGGAATAATTCCACTCTCATCCCACACCAAAGGGCTCCAAAGAGATATTTAAAATGAAATAAATAAATGCCACTGAATCTGATGTCCCAAACCTCATGGCTAGCTCTTTCTTATGTCTGACATACTACCTACAGCACTTAATTTTCTTTCCTGGGTCTGTTACTTCTGGGGTGCTTGCCAGACCTGGTATCTGACAGGAGAAGGGAGAAGAGATAGCTTCTGTTCCTCTGCTAGGCATCTCCTGGGAGGGCTGGAGTAGAAAGCACGGAGCTTCTCAAGGTGGGAGGAATAGTGTGAACAGGGTATTTGCTGATAAAGTAACCAGACCGTTCTTCTGGAGCATCATGGGTGTGCATGGCACCTACTGACCGCAAAGGCAGGTCTCTGTTGGATTCAGTCTCTTGCACAAGACCCTCTGCTCTCAACTCATAGCTTCTCATCTCCTGTGAATGAAAAGGGCGCAGGACATCTGTCTGTGCTCTGAATGTACTTTACAACACATTGTAAGACTAATCATCCCCAGTCAAGAGGCCCACACCTTGGACAAGAACAGCACTGAATGCATATGCAGAACTGGGTGGAGGCACAGGAGAGGGGAGGGCACTGAGTTACCCTTCTGCTGACAGGCCTCCTGTAAAGGCATATCTCAGTCACACACTGCCCGGCCTCCTACTATCTCCCAGGATAGCCAGGAGCTCTGTTCATGTTGCTGTAGGGTGACCAGCAGGGTAATGCCTCTCTGCCAAGCATACTTGCTAATGAAGCAATTCACATGCTGTCCCTGCTTACTGAGGACCCAAACCATGAAACAGATTACAGTAGGGCCTCCCTCTGCCACCTTGCTTGCAGCATAGTAACTGTAGGGGCAAAAACAGACTGAGGCCTGCTGGCTTTTGTATATAGAACCTGATGCCAGGTGGGGAAATGGGAGTCCAAACACTGGGCTCCAATTCATTTCCCTGTCTGGCACAAACGGGGTCTGAACTGCTTGCTTCTCTTCATGGATGGAGGAGCAGTGCATGTCACCTGTGTTACAGCATGACACTTCTACCATGGCCCGCTCCTGCCCCAGCCCCACCTCAAAGCAAACTACACGGGGGGAGAGCAAGGACGCCTGCTCTTGTCCGCTTAAAGCCTGGCACTCTATGAACCGTGTCAACTGTGAGGCCTGTGGCAGGCGAGCTGTGTTCTCAGTGTCCCTACTTAATGCGAAGTGCAAATGAGCCTGTGCCCTGTCTCAGTCCAGTCACAGGTTGGTGTGACTCTGCCACTCCTCTCTCTTCTCCCTGCTACTGTGTCCTCCCCTGCTGCATAATTCAGGGATGAGGCATATTACAGTCACATAGTACATTCCTCTCCCTGTTGTGGGTAACCCACCCCTCTGGGCTGAGGCAGGCCGCTCTATACCACCCTACCGCTAGCTTCTGCTGGGTCTGTGCTGCATCAGGAGCGGGGGTTCAGTATCTCTAATACCCATAGGAAGGAGAAACACAAGTGGCTTGGAGGGGAAAAGGCAGAGTTTCCCTTACCATATTCATGCTAAGCAGGGCCAGACTGAAGTCATCCACAGCCCACCCTCAAAGTGTGTCCCAGTATCACAGCTGTGCCCCTAACAGGGGCTGCAGTGGCAGGGGCTGCTCACATGAAAGCTGGGATGGGGCCCAGTCTCTGGGCAGGGGACATCTCGCTCTTTCCAGACTATCATCACTCTTTGACACACTGGAGTGCATCCAAGAAGAGGGAGCACTTGGATTTCAGCTACCTGGGCAGAGGACTCTGGGGGAGGGAGGAAGATGCTTTCAGCCTGCTTCTGGTGGGTGTTGGTAGTGAGGCTCCCTACTTGTAGACTTCTTTGCTGGGCTGGTGTGGCTATCAAGAGTGCCAGGCCTCCGCCCCATGAAGCTAAATGAGGCCGTTCCCACTCCTTCTGAGCCATCGTTTTAGGCTCTCTCGGGTGCTTGCTCAACTTTGCTCATGTTTGCAAGGGGATTTGCACAAAAGTGGGACTTATTTTTAAATAAAAGCTAAGATTCTAATGATCCCATGTGAATCCAACAGCCAGGGCCCTAGACAGGGCCCTTAATCCAGCCCTGTTGCTAAATTGGGCAACTGTTAGAAATGAGCCTAATAGAATGAGAGTTTGGAGTGACTCACTGCTGTTCTGAGTTCACAAGGGCGCAGCCTGCTCTCAGAGCACAGAAAGGAGGCTTTCCTGCTAGGGGCAATATTACCACATAATTTAGCTGTGCCAGTGCTTTCTGCTCTCAGTACTGGCTCACTTCTTCATAGGAGGAGGGAAGCCAGGTGCATAGAAAGGGATGAGACTGAGGAAAGAACCCAGTTCTCTCTCTTGCTACCAGAGACAGGTCCCAAGACAGGACCCATTTTAACAATTTCCATGCCCTACCCCCAACCCTGCCCCTACCTATGTGTTTGTGCACAGGGAAGCATCCTTTGAGGGGAACCAAGGGAGGGAACAGGGAGTTTCAATGGACTTTGAATAAGCCAGTGCTCAGGTGAAGACTATCAGTATAGCTCAATAAGAAAGCAAAAGACACTGCAGGCACTATAGAAGGCAGAGCTGTATTTATTTCATATTCCACATGAGACTAATAAGCATCAATAGAAAGCTGCATTAAGCCCCAGTTGAAACTGCTTGCAGAGTTTAATTGCCAGGGGCTTCCCTCTGCTTTCCTTTCTCAAGCCCCCGGCCTATGTTGGGCAGTCCATCAGAGGCACCAGGCATGCCTTCAGTTAGGACCCTGCCTTGCTTCCCTCTCCAGAAGAGGATTCTCTCACCT